CACGGCACCTTTAGTTTACATCGATATTACAATACAGCACAAATGCAGACCATTACACGGCACCCCAGTTTACATCAATATTACAATACAGCACCAATGCAGACCATTACACGGCATCTTTAGTTTACATCAATATTACAATACAGCACAAATGCAGACCATTACACGGAACCCCAGTTTACATCAATATTACAACACAGCACCAATGCAGACCATTACACGGCACCTTTAGTTCACATCGATATTACAATACAGCACCAATGCAGACCATTACACGGCACCCTAGTTCACATCAATATTACAACACAGCACCAATGCAGACCATTACACGGCACCTTTAGTTCACATCGATATTACAACACAGCACCAATGCAGACCATTACACGGCACCTTTAGTTCACATCGATATTACAATACAGCACCAATGCAGACCATTACACGGCACCCAGTTCACATCATTATTACAGTGCACTATGATATCTGTGGAGTAACCGACATTTATTCGTATAAAGTGCATATGACATTGTTTCAGTTCCTGGATTACCTACCAATGATGACAGTAACCGTCCTGTTGCTGAAATGGCCACTGCTGCACTGGATCTGCTGTATCACATCAATTTCTTGGAAATTCCCCATAAACCCAGAACCAAGATCAAAGTGAGAATTGGAATGCACACAGGTATGTTATAATCATGTAAACATCCAATTATATATAACATTCTGCTATCGAGACAGTATGTGGTCACATTACAAGTATGCTTACACGGTGTAGTACGCCTGTATGTTTAGCACCGTTTAATAATGGTTTTACCAGCCTGGCATGTAGGCGTGATTGGCGCCCTCTCCAGTTTGGGGCACCGCGGAGGGCGAAACTCACGCGTCCTTGTTAGGTTATGGTTTTACTGGGACTGGTAGTCCTCGATATAAAGTTATACTCACGTTACTATGACAACCGAGAGATGAAAGTATAATGACGTATACATAAAGTAGTACTATAAATGACACATTTTAAAGTGTGAATATACACAATTCGCTGATTTTAAAGGAATTTGCTCTTGTTCCGAATAGCATATCTAACTAAGCATTTTCTTTCAACCTAGGGCCCGTAGTAGCAGGTGTGGTTGGCCTAAAAATGCCACGATATTGTCTGTTTGGAGACACCGTTAATACGGCCTCCAGGATGCAATCACATAGTCTACGTGAGTATATGTCAGTCTATGTTAGCGGACTACGTGAGCGTTGACATGTCATTCCGTGTAAACGGTTTATGTGAGCGTTAACATATCAATTCGTGTCAACGCTATACGTGAGCGTTGATATATCAATCCGTGTAAACAGTATACATGTACGTGAGCGTTGACATGTCAGTCCGTCTAAACGGTTTATGTGAGCGTTAACATATCAATTCGTGTCAACGCTATACGTGAGCGTTGATATACCAATCCGTGTAAACAGTATACATGAGCGTTGACATGTCAGTCCGTGTAAACGGTTTATGTGAGCGTTAACATATCAATTCGTGTCAACGCTATACGTGAGCGTTGATATACCAATCCGTGTAAACAGTATACGTGAGCGTTGACATGTCAGTCCGTGTAAACGGTTTATGTGAGCGTTAACATATCAATTCGTGTCAACGCTATACGTGAGCGTTGATATATCAATCCGTGTAAACAGTATACGTGAGCGTTGACATGTCAGTCCGTGTAAACGGTTTATGTGAGCGTTAACATATCAATTCGTGTCAACGCTATACGTGAGCGTTGATATACCAATCCGTGTAAACAATATACGTGAGCGTTGACATGTCAGTCCGTGTAAACGGTTTATGCGAGCGTTAACATATCAGTTCGTGTCAACGCTATACGTGGGCGTTAACATAACAATCCGTGTAAACAGTATATGTGAGCGTTGACATGTCAGTCCGTGTAAATGGTATTGGAGCCATGCAAAGGTGATTAATTCGACACAATGAAAAGCATCAACTGTGCTGTGTTTTATCCGGGTGGTATACTATATAACTAACATGTAACATTTTATAAATACTGCAGCAAGCCGTGTTCATATTAGCTTCGAGTGTCGTCTAGCCTTATTGGAATACGGTGGTTACACAATGTTTGACAGGGGCGATATTGAGATAAAGGTACGTAGGAAATTTGTATTCACAGATATTGAAGGAGTATAATATTGCGCAGTAGTATTATATTATTATATATCGATATATTATTTTTGAGACCTATATTAATACGTATTTTTATCTATTCATTGCACAGGGCAAGGGGATCATGAATACATTTTGGTTGACTGGAAAAGAGAATTTCAACATACATTACACTCCTAATATACATGACACGAGTAACAAAACGCCTCTATGGCGTCGTAAATACGACATTTAGAGACACGTTTTTATGTGATTTTGGTGAATTTAGGGACACAGCCTTGTGTGATTTGGTGAATATATCATTTAGAAATACGTCTCGTTGTAATTCGGTTTATATAACATTCAGAGATATGTCCCATAGTGATTTCATAAATATAACATTTAGAGATACTCCCTTATGTCATTCTGTATTTATACCATTTAAGAATACATCCCGTTGTAATTCGGTTTATATAACATTCAGAGAAACGTCCCATTATGATTTCATAAATATAACATTTAGATACACTCCCTTATGTCATTTTGTGATTATACCATTTAGGAATACATTCCGTTGTAATTTGATAAATATAACATTCAGAGATACTTCCCATTATGATTTCATAAATATAACATTTAGAGACACTCCCTTATGTCATTCTGTATTTATACCATTTAGGAATACATCCCGTTGTAATTTCATAAATATAACATTTAGAGACACCCCCTTAAGTTATTCTGTAATTATAACATTTAGGAATACATCCCGTTGTAATTTGATAAATATAACATTTAGAGACACCCCCTTATGTTATTCTGTAATTATACCATTTAGGAATACATCCCGTTGTAATTCGGTGAATATAGCATTTAGAGACACTTTCTTATGTCATTCTGTGATTATACCATTTAAGAATACATCCCGTTGTAATTTGATAAATATAACATTTAGAGACACCCCCTTATGTCATTCTGTAGTTATACCATTTAGGAATACATCCCGTTGTAATTTGATAAATATAGCATTTAGAGACACCCCCTTAAGTTATTCTGTAATTATAACATTTAGGAATACATCCCGTTGTAATTTGATACATATAACATTTAGAGACACCCCCATATGTCATTCAGTGATTATACCATTTAGGAATGCATCCCGTTGTAATTTGATAAATATAACATTTAGAGACACTTCCTTATGTCATTCAGTGGTTATACCATTTAGGAATACATCCCGTTGTAATTCGGTGAATATAGCATTTAGAGACACTTCCTTATGTCATTCTGTGATTATACCATTTAAGAATACATCCCGTTGTAATTTGATAAATATAACATTTAGAGACACCACCTTATGTCATTCTGTAATTATACCATTTAAGAATACATCCCGTTGTAATTCGGTTTATATAACATTCAGAGAAACGTCCCATTATGATTTCATAAATATAACATTTAGAGACACTGCCTTATGGCATTCTGTATTTATATCATTTAGGAATACATCCCGTTATATTTTGATAAATATAACTTTTAGAGGCACCCCCTTGTGTCATTCTGTATTTATACCATTTAGGAATACATCCCGTTGTAATTTCATAAATATAATATTTAGAGACACCCCCTTATGTCATTCTGTGATTATACCATTTATGAATACATCCCGTTGTAATTTCATAAATATAACATTTAGAGACACCCCCTTAAGTCATTCTGTAATTATACCATTTAGGAATACATCCCGTTGTAATTTGATAAATATAACATTTAGAGACACCCCCTTATGTCATTCAGTGATTATACCATTTAGGAATACATCCCGTTGTAATTTGATAAATATAACATTTAGAGACACTTCCTTATGTCATTCTGTGATTATACCATTTAGGAATACATCCCGTTGTAATTTGATAAATATAGCATTTAGAGACACTTCCTTATGTCATTCTGTGATTATACCATTTAGGAATACATCCCGTTGTAATTTGATAAATATAGCATTTAGAGACACTTCTATATGTCATTCTGTGATTATACCATTTAGGAATACATCCCGTTGTAATTTGATAAATATAACATTCAGAGAAACGTCCCATTGTGATTTTATTAATATAACATTTAGAGACACTTCCTTATGTCATTCTGTGATTATACCATTTAGGAATACATCCCGTTGTAATTTGATAAATATAACATTTAGAGACACCCTCTTATGTTATTCTGTAATTATACCATTTAGGAATACATCCCGTTGTAATTTCATAAATATAACATTTAGAGACACTTCCTTATGTCATTCAGTGATTATACCATTTAGGAATACATCCCGTTGTAATTTCATAAATATAACATTTAGAGACACCCCCTTATGTGATTTTGGTAAATATAACAGAAATACGGATTTTTAACAGGAAAATTTCTTTATATTATTTATGTTTTATTGCTGTTATTGTGATATTAAATGTTTGGAAATAAATCACCAATAAAATAGCCTTTCATTTGTAATACAGTACATGGCAAAGGAGACATCGTTGTACGTTTGCCGCGGAGTCACAATCAGAAGGTCACTGTGTCGAATTTGGTTGGTACAATGTTCTATTCAAGATGAAGGTACTATTCTTCTTTTATGAGTCTCAGCCAGTGGAATAGATACCTGGCAGGATAGAAGTTCAAATGAATTAGATTAGTCTTAAGTATGCTGTATACTTGCTAGGAAGCTGATGGTTGTTTACGGAAGGATTTAATTACCATCAGAGGTCATCTATAAAGCACACATGAACGGCACGCTAGATATATAGCGACAAATACATCTATTACAAGGAAACTAATGAGCAGATGGGCATAAAATTTGAATATTACGTAACCACAACCACTTACTACTGCAGAGGGGAAATATTGGGTTAATTTTAGCGGATTTGGTGTTGCAGGGATATTCACTAGATTAATACATTCATTGGTTTCTGTTCTATTTTATTGTTAAATTTGAATATTGACTGGGTTTCACCTCAGCTTTTGCAGCTATCAGTAAAATAGTGGAAAATAAAACCCAGCGAATTAAGCCCTATGTAGTACGGTATATCTTTACACAGTTACATTTGAAGAAATAAATGACACTGAAACAATGGCTTTTTTTCGGTGACTGCCCATTGAAGGATTTATGGCGTAACAGCAGTTAGTGTATATTTTCTCTAATATGGTATACTTTTAAATACTGGCTTTAGTAGCTTTGCATCGTCCATTGGTCGAGAATGGGGAGTGATCATATGCCCCAGAAATTCTGTTAGGTCATCTTCTTGGTCAACACCAAAGTTTTCAGCGAATTGAGCAGGTTTGCAGATTTGTTGTTCCAATATTCCGTTAAATAAAATTGTTTGGCTCTTACTGGCGGAGTCAGGATTTTTGTTATATCCGTACGATTTTAAAGTTAAAAAAGATTCTCTCATCCATATGAGTGTTAATTATGTTTTGTTAAGATTCCAGTGAAATATCCAACGACATATTCATTGTCGTCATGTAATAAACTCATTTGTAAAAAAAAAAATAAGAAACACACACACAAGTATACATTGAAAAGTTTCCAGGTTATAGTCACGCTCCCTTCATGGCGAAGTTGACTGTGCGGTTTGACTGTTCCGGCCTTCTGACCGAAAACTGCGCCACCAGACAGGGGGAGTATGAAATTCCCTTGCACTGAATACTGTAAAAACTCGTAATAATAAAAGTATTCCCTAGGATACTAATAGAAACCGCGGTTTTAATGTTTGAGAATTAACAGAATATGTTTGATCCATAGAAATAATGAAATATGTTATTGCTTTTTAATAAACAAATTCGAAGCATTCAAATCTCTCGACATGTACGAGGACAAAAAGCAAAACAAAATGTGTATAAAAAATACTCAGGTTAGATAGGTGGCGCTGCTGAGGAAAATAACATTGTCGCCCTCTACGGCGGGTTTCGATGCCAAATGGATTATAATGTCTTGTTTCAATCTCCGACCGGATTCAATCCCAAATGAAATGAGGAGCTGTTTGCGTAATGGGTCCTCTGATTGAATACAAAAAATGAAAGTTGTCATTAATTATTAATGCCTCTCTTATTAAAGTGCATACTGAATCCGGTTCAGTTTTGGTTTCAACCAATTTACTTTTCACACGTAATGATGTAAACAATTGAAATATTGTTTATCCATTCTTACAATAACATAATATTTCAATTCAGTCATATCCTACCCACGTTTCATGGTTATCTATCTCATACCATTTACTGTGTGTCTGCATGTCTCTGAAATAGTTATTTGTATTTTGTCAAATATTTTCGATGTCAATTAGCTGAACTCGCGCTCTGTGATACAGGACATGTATCGCTCGGTTGTCCAAGAGGTTCCGTTAATTGGACTTATTGCCTGTTGGAACAGTGACGACAAAAAGTGACTAGTTAATGATGTACAGTGGTCTGACTGATGCCCATCAAGTGTACAACATCTTCTGTTTAGTTGTTGTTACAGATATGCAGACTGGATTGTTTTCATTATGTATAGATTGTGTTAGAGTGACGGTGTGTAGATGTTTATCTGTATTTTAAATTCCCAGAAACATGTTCTCAATTATACATTATCAATTAAACGTCAGTACTCCTTCTTCTCAAATAAAGATTTGTAAGTTGAAAGCATTGGTGATTAAAGTATTCTTCCATTCTTTTTGTACGCCAATGTTCTGATATCTTGCCCTCCCCCCATTGGTTTAGCTATACCATATGAAAACATTGATCGTAACATGCCATACTCAGCATAATCTGTCTGACGTCACGTACATTTTATAGCGCCGAGTTATGCATGTAGATCGAGAACCACAGAGTAGACTTTCAGAATTGGTCGGAATGTAAACTAGAGCCACAACTTTGCTTTACAAGTCATTGTCTATTTTTAAAAGTTCGTGCAAGAAAATCAGTGTTGTTTTTACGATTTTGTCAGAAAATGTAATTTAAATAAAGTGTAATATACAATTCTTTTAGTTTATAGTCATGTATCTATTTTGGTCTTGTTATGACATGTAATAATTTTCTTACATTTGGTGCATTTTTACCTGTGAAGTGATTGAGTTTAAATAAAGATTAAATCAAATCTAAGTGATGAGTCATATCGGCCATTATAATTGCCAAATTCGCTAGCCAATGTTCATTTATTCGGCCGTTGCCCAACCATTATATAGAGACGGCCATGGATGCCCGGCTTCGGCAAAACCGTGCAAATCCCTT